ATCCTAAGTGCAACATTCCGATCAAAATGAAATTGGGTTTTCTCCTCCCAGCATCATAGAGGGGAAATATTAAAGGAGTGACTGACACAGACCCCTCCTCAGGTTTTCCAAGGTGACTTTTTCCAATTGATTTATTTCCGAAAACAAATGCCTGGGAAAAGGTACGTTTTTGAGATCATAAAAATTTATGTCTTTGATGTACTTTATCCAAAACAATATTCACCCCAAACAGCTTGAAATCGCATTTCAGGGACTCCAGACTTCAAACTTTTTCCCAAGGAACATGCCCGGAAACAACCTCGTACCCAGGTTTGAGATCTTCGCTCCTACCCCGCTTGAATTGAGACCTGGTATCGGCTGGTCACGTGACCCGTCATATTTTGGAGGATTTGCTCAATTGTTTTAGGGAAAGGATAGTAACTGAGATGTTTTGTTTTGTAATGTTTACTACAATATCTACTTACTATACTTTCCCTAAAACAATTGAGCAAATCCGCCAAAATACATGGGCCGATACCAGGGTCTCAATTCAAGCAAGGTAGGAGCGAAGATTGAGAACCTGGGTACGAGGCTGGCCCTGAACATGAGCCACGGTTTTTGCTTCGTCCCTCCAAAAAAATATGGCCCTGGCTACGCCACTGGGTAGGGCAGTTATCAAGGCATGCCGCTTAGATCCTATGACCTCATCAGAACCTCTGTGAAACGTCTGACCTTCTTCTGGTATGATAAGAATTTTCCCACAGAGATTAAGACTGAATTTCCACCAAAACTGCAAGATGCAGTCAAATTTGGCTGTTTTAGTCATTTCAGGTCAAAATTTGTCCAACAAATTGTCTATTTTATGTGGGTGTAGTATTTCCATCATTGAGCCTAATTATACTTGATTTAATCCATCACTTAAATAGCCCCAGATGAATAACATACAGTATGACTAGTACTTAATATCCTTTTTGTGACAAAAGTCCTTCTTTTCTCGAAAATGTGTGTGGTTTTCTGAAGTTGGCCCTATACTGTAAAGTAGTACTACAAAAATTATCTTAATTAGTGAAAGGGCTTAAGTTAGTGAATTAGGGCTAGGAGGAATGAGTACTCCTAGCCCTTTCACTAACTTCAGGACCTGTGTAGAGGATATTGGTTTCAAGCATTATTGTTTCTTCTATAATGAAAATTATGAGTTAGGGTCTGAAATTTAACATTTTTCAAGTATCCGTCTGGGATACCAGGATTTAAACTTCTAGCTACACCCCAGTCACCCACCTGAAATCCTTGACTATAAACTGAAAATAAGTATGCAGTACATATTGTCTCTCAGTGCAATTATTGCTATAAATTACAATAACAACAGGAGAAACTTGACAGTCAACAACTAGACAGTAAAGCAGTGTGCAAATCTGATCTGAAACCAATCCGAATCCGATCCGATCGGATTCATTTGGATTTCTGAACCAAAATATTCATTTCAGATCGGATCGGATTGATAAAGTTGTTCTGTAGTCGGATCGGATTTCGATTCCGAAATAAAATGAATTAATTATCCACGCCTTATCGCAAGAATTAATTATCCATGCATTTATCAAAGTATCATCGCGGTTGTCGCTGCATTATTCGTTTGATACTTCAACATGTATTTCTTGCTTTTATATTTATTTAGTTAAATATTTCAACTTGAATGAGAAATTTATTTTATTAAAGAATTCTTCGGATCGGATCGAAATTCTTTTTCAAAACTCAGATGTCTCAGATCGGATTCGGATTAGACAATTTCGTATCGGATTTGAAACATTAGGCAATTGTCGGATTATAAATGTCCAATCCGATCTGATGCACACCTCTAGTAAGCAGGTTGGTATTATGTGCATGCACATACATGCATGCATGATCGAACTTCTCATGTCAAGTTGTGGAATCAAAGGCTGGTTATTTTCAAGGGGGCAGGCTAAAATAATTTAAATGCTATTTGGGAGATCACTGGAGACATTTAACAATTTTTTAATATTTGAAATGTGGTAGTATCCAGTTGGGGTACAAGTCAATTTTACTGTTTGGTATTGAAAACCAAATTTCAATGTCCTGCGAATATAGAGATACTGCAAATTTCAGGTGTGTGAGGGATAAAGGGATCATGACATCTCAACAGCAGAGTCAATGAGTCATTGGTTCTAATAAACATTGATTTTCATGTAGTGCAAGAAAATATTGCCACATAGGTATGCTATTAGGTGTGTCCCCACACATCCTGCCATATTTTCTTTAATACTGTATAGGCCTGGCTCCATTGGTCACAAATGTTCTCAAAACACATTCATTTTGTCAGATACTCTCACTCTGGATCCATAAATTGCATTGCTTGCTCCCAAACTAGCAGCATACATATTACGCAAAATCTAATAAATACCAATTTTAGGATCTGTCGTCTTCGCCAGTATTTATACGTTCACACTATACTGGATAGCTTTCCGTAGCGGCGGGGAAAAACGGAAATGTACAACTTTCAGAAGCTGAGCAATTTAACAACATCTCTCCGTTGCAATAATTCCTCTGAAAATAGCGTTCCTAAAAGGCACGGATAGATGTTTTTTCACGTCTCTACGGAAAGTTACCGGTACAGTGAAACGTAGTCTATATTTCATGTGTAAAATATAAACAAAACGCTGTCCGGTCAACACATAATTTATGCACATAATTGCTACATAATATTGTTCTATAAATCTTCAACTGATAAAAAATTAAAGCAACCAAACACGCATATTACTAATTTAACGCTTTGCAATTGTCCGACGTTAAAATCAACCAAACACAGTTAACACTAGCTTACCATACAACAAAATGCAGTCAACACTAGCAAATACAGTTAACACTAGCTTACTATAAAACCGTGTACCCTCATTATATAAAACCCGACTCCCGGAGTCCTTGAATTAAAATCTGCAGTATACTGTATAGCATATAAACATAATTGCACATTATAGAAAACATTCGTAATATAATTTATTTATTTAAGCTTAATATTTAATCCAAAGAAGTAATTCTTTCGCTAAAACGATTTAAAAGCGATAAAACTGCTGGCCTACATGTATGTATGTATTGTTTTGTTTAGACTACGTCTTACGTTCGCACGGGACAAAACTGCACAAGCAACTTGTTCTTCGGTAAAGCTAGGTAGCCTAGGTTACGGGGTTTCGCAGAGCTCAAATTCAACTCAGTGGTTTCACGAGTCCTAGTGTGAACTCGGAAGGCGAATTCGTGCAAAACTGACTATATTCCACGTCCCTTGCGGGCCGAACCTCAATATAATCTATTTGCCCACCTCTCGCTTCAAGCACGATAAGCTTGCATTCAGGTTTGTTTTTGTTGAGTTCATATGCAGCTGTCAACCCAGCGGCTCCAGCACCGATCACTATAACATCATATATATTCTCCATTTACACAAGTTTGAAAATCAATCCAAAACAACAGCGTGTAGCTCCAGAGATGCAGCCCTATCCTAGACAGCCAAGTCTCTTGGTACGGTCATGTAAAAGCTGATTAGATAATGATATACAAAGATTCTCCGCACAGTTCTTGAATGGCTCACAGCTGAACATTGACATGCGCCAGACAATGCCAGACATCAATTAAGGGAGAATGAGGGGGAGGAACAATCTCGTACGGGGAGAAGGGGGTGGGGGGAGGAGTGGGAGCAGCTGTGCGAAGGGAAGGAAGTCGGTTTTACTCAGTTACTGTAATAGCAGCTATCGCCAACTGATCGAGCTCAGAAAGTTAGGGCTACATAGATATGGAGTTAAAAGCCAGGGTGGTTTAATATACGTTGGTACCATGCAGGGTGCTAGAGGTTGTTCCATGCTCGCAGAAGTACCGCATAATACTAAGCCTATACTTGGCTAACCTGCCGAGATGGACCGGCATTTTCCCCAGGCCCACAGCTAACCCCCTCCCCCCCCAAGCAAATTTTGTCATAGGGGAACCTGAGAAAGTTTTGCTCCTGGCCCCGCGCAACCTCTCCACCTCGACGGGCCTGGAGAAACCTTTGGCACCGGGCACCCTGCAAGGCACTTTGTTGGCCACCTTCGCATAATAGTGTGGGGGAATTAATACGGCTTGCACCCGGAATAAATTCCCAACAATTCACATTCGGTACAGTTAAATAGAACACATTATTATTAATCACATTTGGTACGGTTATTTTACGCAGAATAACATATCAAAAGCCTCCCTGCGTACAGGCTGGGCAAAAAATTTGCGAGCTCTGAACTGCTATTGTCAGTAAAATTGTGAATTTTCAAGTTCATCATTACAAAAATAACCTATGTCACAAGAAAGATTGCAAAAAATTATGTAGAACTTAATTAAACGGTTATGCCGAAGCGGTTATGCCGGGAATTTATTCTGGGGCTGCCTGTTTTCTGACTAATTCCCCAGACTATGAGTTCAGTCTTGGCAAGGGACCAAAATATTTTAGAAAGGGACGTTCACAAAGGGGCGTTCATCGAAGCTCAGTACTTCACCTCCTCAAGGCCATTGAGATATTTTGTGGGATGTTTCACTCACATGTTCAGTAGTTATGGAGATACTGGCACATGAGTTGACGTTTCGCTCTTCAAACTATCTTTAAACTGCATCGGATTTAATTTCATCTATTTATCTGCACTCAGTGCATGCATGCGATTTGTCAAGTTGACTTTGACGATCACGATTACTCGTCTGATCATACAAACGGGGCAGGACATTACGAGCCTCCTCCGCTCACCCAAATTCATCCGGTCCAGGGTATAATGGGTATTCCTTTTGTGGAGGTATTGAAGACACGGGAATTCATACAGTTAGCTGCGCTTGACTAAATTGTCGGGTTTCATGCGTCGTAGCCTTTGTTAATTTAACTCAGGCAGGCGAAAATTGTAATCATGCAAGTTTGAGTTTGGTTCGAATTCATCCGAGACGTCCTTCTCATCAAAGCCAAAGGCGAGATATTCAAATAATTCAACTTCCTTGTTCTGTAGTTTATATGGAGATGCTAGCTATAGAAGGCCATAGCCCATACTCCATAGTCCATAAATAGATTCCTAGAACGTCAGTTAAGTTTGTCGATCAGGTGTATAAAAGATGAATATTGAATACCGGGTGGTTTTTAAGGAGTGTGAATTTGAATATTGATACTACTGTAGGAATATGAATAATACCCCTCCCCTACCCCCTCCGCCGTCAACAGGATTTTTAAGGTTTGGGATATGAATTTTAGATTAGAAAAAAATTAAATAGTCCCCTTCCACTCACGAATGACGCAGGCTATATCATAGGATGAAAGCTATTATAATAACGAATTCGACCAGCAGATAATCGTCGACAGTTCAATGGTCGCGGCTGCGAAAGATTCCTGAATGAATAGCCTTGATGAAATCCAACAAAGCTTTATTCAACGTAGCGATTGACCAAATAATGCTTGTAAGATGAAGTAGTGCCATGTTTCGAACTTTGATCTTTGTGACACTTTTTAAAATCCGCGGATTTGCGCGCGCATGAAAAACACGTGTGTTTATTGCAAAGCAAAACAGAGATTGGTTACTGTATGCTCCATTTTAATAAATACTCCTTTGTATCGAACGTTTGCCAAGAGCAAGTTGTTGTTAAGTGTGTTGTATTCTGAAGAAATTAATTTAATATTTCCGATAGCATTTAAATCGCAGAAGAATAAACAATTAGAAGCATGGCTTTTCAAATGAAAATTGAGAAAGTTCTGATTAGCGATAATCTGGACAATTGCTGCCTTGAAATTTTAACAAAGAATGGCATTGAAGTCAAGGCAGAAACGAAGTTGAACAAAGAAGAATTATTGGCTGAAATTCCTGTGAGTAAAATCGTTTGTGAAGGCCTAGCTGTTTTAATGTTTTTTGAAACTTTTCCTCGAGATGGTTTAGTATTTATATATGATGTTTTATTTATATCATAGTTTTTTAGTTGTATGTAATTGTTAATCGTAATATAGTGTATGAGGTGCTAAAACAAATTGAAATAAATTTAATGAAATTAATAGGGGCTAGACTGCAGTTTAACAGACACCAGTGTGTTGCTGAAAGTACAGTCATACTGTGGGCTTGCCTAATGCAATGTTTTATTAATTGGCAGCAAAATGCAAAAACCTTAAATAATAATTAAGGGTTAAGGTTATTTACCACCAAAATGTGTACTTTATACACCGATCAAAACGAAGGTGTAACATCCCCCGGGCATATACCCGGGCATATACCCGGGCTTTTTGGATTTTGTAATGATCAAATCCCCTACCCCATGTCAAAAAACGAAGTCCAAGTGCCCTAAATTCCACAACTAAGTGGTCAATTTGACCACCACTAAGTGGTGGTCAAATGCCCCATTGTAAATTTAATTTGAAGGTTAAAATTCTTCAACTTTCAACTTTCCCAGTCCATTCTGGTCTAATTACCAATTTCTTGAAAACACAAAAGCAACAAGAAAATATTTCTTTAAAAAAGAAATAATGTTTCGTTCCAATATAATTATAGAAATACCAGACGTCTATAATTAGCGGTTGTGACCATAGATCACTTGTATATGTCGCCAGCAATGAAATTGGTTCATTTTGTGAGGCGGGCGGGTTCTATAAATTTT